CTTTTTATTAGTTTGTAATTTTTATAACCACATTAGATGTCTCTATATCCCACACTACTACTGCACCCCACCAACTGTAAATAAATTTATCGAATTACTGGAAACTCAAAATGATGTACTTCTACGGCGCTTAGCTGCGTTTGTATTTAATGCTATGAAACTTAGGAGGGAAGTCGCTGAAATATTGTAAATAATTTAAATATTTTGTATTTACTGCTTTGGGCCGATGGCCATGTATCAGTTTATAAAGATCCTACTGAATGAAAATTGTAATTAAGAATATATATAATCTGTTTCCAGATGCTGTAAATATAAAGGTTCCTCTGAATGACTATATACGTCACTATGACGTCATCAACTACGACAAAATAGATCTACAAGCAAGACACGTCAGATTCAAAAGATCCTTAGATCACGTGATCCATTTCAGTTTCAATACACATGGAAGGTGTGTCCATTGTCAGTTTCATTATTGAATAATACCTTTTACATTTGTACGATATTTAAGTTTGGATTTTGATTGTATTTATTACTAACAGAGGCAATTCGTTGGTTTATTGCTTCGTCGGTTGCTCTGTCACGTGAATAAATAGCCAGTATTGTTGTATTCACATACACCCATTGATTAACATTGTCATGAGTATACTTCGATCTGATAAAATCCAAGTTTGTGCTTTTTCTTTCTGCTTTGTTTTTTGTTTTTTTAAATATGTCTTTAATTTTGTCATATATTTGTTTTAAATTTATTAATCATTTGCTAGTTGTTTGTTTAAATTCCATCAATCGAGAAAGCGCATAATTCAAATAACATAATATAATATCATTTATATATGTAATGAAAAAATATTTAAAAATAATTAATATATATATATATATATACATTGTAAAAATACACCAGATATTAGTGAGATTTGAGCACACTCGCGAGAATCTAAAAAACACCAGGTACTCAGTATCTATTTCCAGCCAATTTGTTCGATTACTGCCGCTAACTCGAAGACATATTAGAACATAGTTTTTTGAATTTGTTTCGTAACATGCGTGTATGTGTTCCACATAAGAATGTGTACATTATTACATGATGTGTTTGTTACAGGAAGTTTAATCTACGACTGACAAGGGACCAGTCAGTTTTCACAGGAAGTTTTGTCGTTAATGCTAATGGTTCTGATGAGTATTATGACATGTCTCATTTTTACACTGGTATTCTTCACGGTAAGTCCTCACACGTTCACTTACAATAACTAAGAGCGTCGTTTTAGTCAGCCATTGACAAGGCAGAAATGTTTCATTATATAGTCCCGTCTCATTTGCATATAGGTTCGCAGTTTACCGACAGTTTACCATCATCTGCAGAACATAGAGATTTTTTTTTTGATAATATAATTCCAGAACACATTGAACGCAATTTTCATAAAAGGGCGCCACCTCGTGTTTGTTGGAAGGTAATCCCGGGCAAACACTGGCATACTTAAAAGTACACCACGCGGTAGTCGCTCATTTCTAATTCTTTTCTGAGAGAGGGACTGAGATTGGTGGGCGAGGCTAAAGTATTATATTAAATATCTAAGCCAAGTAAAAAGAATTATAAGGAATTAATGATGACGTCACATTATATGTGAACACAATTTCAGGACTATCAAAGCATGGATTATGTCGACCTTCAGTATAATGTGTATTCAGAGCACAGGCCTTGTTAGCCCACACCGACGTCTCTTAACAACGTCTTTTAATAGCTCGCGGCCTCAGGGTCATCACCTGCGCACGCGCGGGAATTGAGTCCCAAGCGACAATATAACATGCGCTAAAACGCAATGGCTCATGGGTAGACGCTATGGCCATCTGACACATGCGCAGGTGACGACTCCCCCGCTTTAACACACCAAGGTGGTTTCGGGCCTATAATGTTAAGAGCACTTCCCAAGATCAAAGTAACCATAACTGTCAGTGACCGCACGGTGGCGCCCTATAATCAACGTGTTGACATACTTCCAACTTTTACAAAGATTATCATTACCCACATTTCACAACCAATTATGTGCATCGGCATTTCAATGCACCTGCTCAAGATGCCATACACAAATTAATTGATATGGTACATTCGGTATAATGTATTTAAAATTCAAAACTTCCACGAATTCTTAAATACGAAGTCATATATTAAACAACTGACGCACTCTATCTAGAAAACACTTGGTCGTCATTTTCCACGGTGGAATAGCAAAATAAATACGACCACTAAATGAAACAATCGATCTGCCATTGAATGATCAAAATATATCGAATATATTAAAGTTGTACGAAATCTTTTTTCTGAACTCGTTTACCGCGGATTAATACAGTGTATAACCACGAACATATTTAGATGATGTCGTGTTTTGAAATTGTCAACCATGATGCCAAAACTTCAATCTGCTATTATGGGATATGACAAAAATTATACATGGAACTTCGATATATGACATAAAAAAGTTAAGCATACTTTACAATTAAATAGTCAACCAACTGAAATGAACCAACATCATTTACATTTTTGTTATGTACAAGAGGAGCCGGGCAGTCACGTACATGGTTCCGTGATTAATGGTGTGTTTGAAGGAAAGATTTACTCAGGTGATAAAGAGTAT